GGCACAGTACAGCACACAACAAGGTGCACTAACCAATAGAAGTGTGTCAAGACACCAACGTAGGAAACAGTTTGGGAAGTGTTCCATACATGGGCATTACTTGTCACCCAGTGCACAAATCCTGTGACTTACGAGACTGGTCTGAAAACTTGTTTTCTACAATGTATGTAAATCATAAGATGCTTTTATATTTTCCTTGCTAAAGTTGACTTTTGAAGACGTCACTAGATGTGGTATACTTTCTGATTGCTGATACATGTATGTGAATTAAATTAGTGATGCCCATATATGGAACTCTTTACCCACCATTCATAAATACCTGGGACAGTTTTTCTATTCCCATTGTTCGAAATGCATCACGTGACCATTTATTAACATTTGATAATGCCCACTGAGGAGTAAATCATGCACTGGTACGTGGATACGAAACAGTGTAATCAGGCCTGATTGGTCAGGAGGCTGTGTGCACTGGACATGCCATACACGCACCAAGTTCGTTGAAGGGTATTCTATTGAACAACTTTTAAAAGGAATATACCATAAAATGGACGGGGTGTTCCGGAAAAATTTTCTGAACAAAATAATTGGAAATCCATCAGACGTTGACATCTTTTGACTCTCTGAATAAGGTATTTGTCAATGGAACTAAATATGTGCGTGGCCAGTCTCAAACTAACGTTTAAGACCTTGCTCGGTAGAATGGACGTGACTAATGCCCGAACCATGATTATCAGCATCCATTCTCCTGCGCTGGTCTAAAATGCACGGTTAAGACAGGCCAAGCGCATATTAATTCTCTAATTATAAAATCCTGCTCTGAGGCTCATGACCAATCCAGTACAATATTCGCAGAAGGGAGTACTAACGCTCCACTTAGTACAGCTAATTCATATTAGATTAATTTACTTGGTGGTGAGGCAGGATACTCATTCACCCAGTGACAGTGTTGTAGTCAAGTCCATCACAGTCCCTGTAAGTCCATCACAAGTCATTCAGTCGTAAGCCAATTCACATGCTATTCAAATGAACTGTGACAAAAGTATTCTTTTGTCATCGTTCACCCTATTACTTGTGACTGGCCCTGTGAAGGGACTTGTGATAGACTTGACTCCAGCACTGCTCGTTAACTACATGGAATTTTTCCAACTTCCAATACCTTTGGGAGCTGAAGTGGACTATTGATATCCACCCTCAAACCACATCGCCAGTATTTGTCTCCCGTGGCCCATTTTAAAATGGACCTTTTACATTTGGGCAGAAGTTCTGCATCTCATCAAGATGTACTCGTCACGTAGCAACGAATCCCACCTCACCCTGTCGTGCTTGTGTTTTTACTTGAACTAAAAAGGAACTCTGTCGGTGTTGCAAAAGTGGAAATTTCTTGAAATGCTTGATAAAAAGGGTTTTTATGTCACAAGTATCTTTTAAAAGTTGTTGGTTTTTATGGAAATGCAGAATTTTGTTGGCTGGATATGGAACTCTCCATTGGACAAAATGATTCCCTTTTTTAACTTTTACTTTGGAGGATGAAAGCAGCCTTAACAGTCTACATGTACAAATATGTGCACATGAACTTTTATCAAGAAATAAGTTGAAATAGTGTAAGTGTTCATATCCAAAGTGGGCAACATTGCTGTGATCAAGTCTAACATATTGATACATGTATGTTGGGTGTGATGGGTTGATTTGTGTGATCCCTTGATTTTTACACAATCTGCCCATCTTATTGCATGATTTGCCAATAATTCTAGCATCAGCCTTTTCTCTTTAATTTGTGGTTGTGAAGCTTATGTGAAAGGGGAGCAAAGTCAAAGATTTCATGCAAGATTGACTGATAGCACATCATGATCATGAAGATTGCCCGATAGATGCATTTCATTCATGTACGTGCTTGTCTGTATTTTATCTTACAGGTGATACAACATGTCATCATTAGATCAGCTGACTTCATCTTTGGGGAACAGTACCCAACGCTGCCTTGTGGGTCCAGGGGTGCTTGAACAACTCAGTGTGCCCATTGGAAGCTGGTGCATCGTTGAGCTTGATGGATGCAGGAGTATCTGCTCCTTGTGGGTGAGGAACGACCTCCAAGATGGGCCAATAGAGGTCCAAGACACAGTCACTCTTCCCTGTCAGGAGACCAAAGCCGGAAAAATGTTCCAATGGAGTGACATCTCTGTTGAATCCATTCAACCGGTGCCGACACCAGTTCCTTGCGAGGAAGTCACTGTCTCAGTCCTGACTGACTTCAAGCATCTGAGAAGCCTTCAGCAGGTACCGAGGGAGGCTGTGATCAGACAGCTCAGGCAGCTGTTGATGGGTTGTGTGGTGATGGACAGATGCACAGTGTCTTTGCCATCTGATTCTGACTTTGCAGGGCCAAAGATATCGCATATTGTCGTAGAGAAATGCAGTCGTCAAAGGAAGACTGAACTTGACAGGCCAAAAGCAGCTGAACAGAGTACAGAAAAAGAATATTTAAGTTCTTTGTTGGTAGAGACGCCACCGGAGGAGGTGTCTGTCGCTTTGCCCCCAAACTCACAAAAGACAAATGTTGCATCAGTGGTTACTGAGGACAAACATCCCACAATGCCCTCCATTGATAAAACTGTACATGAGCCAAGCATAGATTTGTCACCATCTGTCTTTAATGCGACATGTAGAATATCATCTAGTGAACACACAGGTAATCAAGCAAAGAACAACTCAGTAATTTCATCAGCAGCAGCATCTGTCAGCAACAACTCTCGACTAAATGAGTATTCAAAATCTAGTGACTCGGTGAGAGAGCTAACTCTCCAGTTGATCAGTGAGCAAACCAAAATTAGAATCAAACACATCACAAGCACAGAAACCTTACAGCATGTATACAGCCAGACAAGTGTTAAGGTTGGAGGACTTGACGAAGCAGCATCCTTGCTACGAAAACTCATCGAGTATCCTGACGAGTACCCCGAGTCCTTAAAGAAACTTGGCCTCCTGCAGTCTCATGGAATTCTGCTGCGAGGACCACCTGGATGCGGGAAGACATCGCTCATGCTTTCAGTGGCATCTCAATCCAAGGTTAATTTTGTCTTCCGTTTGTGGTGCTGAAGTTAAGCTTTCATCTGTGTTGCATAGTTGCTGAATGGTCGATAACTAGGTCTGGCTGACTGTCAATTAGGTTTTGCTGGCTGGCTTGCTCCTCATTGACATTCATGCGCTGTCCTGCTTTTTAGGACACTGGCATCCTTATCCGCCTTGAGTTGAAGTGCACCCTCGCTGGCAAAGGAAAGACGGCTTTTAGTTGGAAGGTTTTCCACGGCTTTTATATATGCGACTGGCACACATGCAAAGTGCGCTGAGCTACAAATGCTGATAAACCTGCCTGCTCACCAGATGAGTTCCCACCAAGGACCAGTTGTTTCCATGTAAAAACACATCCTCTCTTGTTTCCACTCGGAGTGGATAAGCTCTCTTGATGTCTCACTCTCTGAGAGACAGAATGACTGATCCGGCAGTTGCCTATTTTCCAGATTGTCTTATCCACTAGTATATATTCATGATTTGCATCCCTTGCTGATTGGCTATTTGGTCAGACTAACCAATCAGTGATAACCATCACTTTTTGATGCGCGGCCGTCATCGCAATTGATGGCAAATGTGATCTAGGAGGCTGCTCGCTGGCTGTTTCGGTTCTAAAGTTCACTTCCTGCCCCTGATGAAATATTTTGCCTGGCTGGTTGGGTGACGTCGTTTCACTTGATGAAAGTTAAGAGCGTTGGTTGTCAAAGGTTTTTGAAATGATTCTTGCATTTCTATTGCATGATTGATATTGTTTCTGCCTTAAAGGTATGCCTCCTGCAAGTCAGTGGAGCAGAAATCTTCGGAGCCAGTCCTGGAGAAAGCGAGTCCAACTTGCGTCAGATTTTTGACAGGGCCTTTGCAATAAGTGAAACCCATCGCTGCGTACTGTTCATTGACGAGCTGGACGTCTTGTGCCCAAAGAGGGACTACACGAGTGGCAGCCACGAGAGCCGGGTAGTCGCCGAATTGCTGATGCTTATGGACGAGGTCAGGGGTCATAGTAAGGTTCTGGTTGTTGGGGCAACAAGCAGACCAAATGTGCTTGATCCAGCACTCAGACGGCCTGGGAGGTTTGATCAAGAGGTGAGTTTAAAAAAAAAAGAGAGTGTAATCAATAAATTTTCGAAATTGTGAAATCATTGCTTTTGTATAGATTTGAAGTATATCGGCGATATTGTGCAGTGCATGACATTTAAATTCCAAGTTCAATCGGAATGAGTTTTAAGCCTGCCCAACTTAGTCACTTTCTTGGGCCTGTCCATTCATCCAACTGTTCAGGTAACCATGCAGATTCCATCAAGATCCAGCAGTGTGTCGTTTCTAGTGGATCTTCATAATGCTAATCTGAATGCCATCCATTGTTCAACAGAGCCCATGGCTCCAAAACAGTGTCTGATATGTGCGTGCAAATTTTATGCGACTTAGCTCTGCACGTGATGCCATTTCAAGCAGAATTCTGCTCAGACCGTACGAGGCCAGCTGACTATGTCAGTTGACAAGGTTTAGGTGGCCTCCACAGAAAGCATGTCCAAGAGTGTTTCAGACCTGGACAATGTGTTCGTCTTTTTTGGATCGCAAATAAATTTACATTTGTATACACATAAATGTTGTAGCATAGACGGGCCAGAAATAACCACAACAGGCTGATTTTAATTCAAATTACTCAGCTAAGAATAATTACTTTTGCAGTTGCTGAGACTAGGGCAGACCAATTAGAAAAGTGGAAGGACAGGGTCTAGTAACTGTTACATAAATTACCGGAAACAAAGTCTGTAATTGGCAAAATAAGAGTAAAGGAAGTCACTTCTCTTTGGCAAATTAAAAATGGCACATACACATAACCCTCCTTTGGTTTTACAGCACAAATATGCACAAGCGCCCACAGTCATTCTCTTGCATGTGTTTTCTATACGGAACACAAACATGCACAGGTTCGGTGTGCACACAGTTGGTTGCCAGCACAAAATGACCCAGGGTCTTTTGTGCAGTCCTCTTCACTGCATTTGGTTTACTGCACAATTATGCACATGCAACAGTGAAGCACAGTTCTTGGGCAGCACAAAAGTGCAATCTGATATTCCTGTGAGGGACTGTTGGTGCAGTGCACAACATGACACAGCTGTGCTTCATTGAGGTGTTTACCAAGTGACTCAAAGAATGACTTCAGCATAGGAGGGTTAATAGACCGATTGCATGACCACTTAGTCACTTGACCTTCAGTGGGTATCAAACATCAATAAACATGGTGTCCTCTGATAGCAAAGTGTTTTAAGTGTCATTTACCAAAAATAAAGCTGATGGTAGATAAAGTACTGTACTCGGACCACTGATGTGCTGAGTACCATGCTGAAAATTGGCTTTGTTAAACAACACTTAAAACACACTTCGCTAGGGGAGGACACCGTGATTGTTAATGTTTGATACCCACTGTAGGTCATGTGACTTAACAGGCTCAATTGGTCTATGGGTCATTCCATGAAGTTCGGGCACAGTTTGTGACGGCGTCCCTTGTTACATCGGTAACTTTGATTGCCCTTTATTTTCACATTACAACAGATGAAGTCATTATTATTCAGCAAAGATGAAGCACACCACTACAAGAACCTAGCAAGATTTCGAACAATGTCAATTAGAATCCACATGCTGGGCAAAAAAGATTTCATTTTCACTGGTGTAACAAGGGACGCTGTCATAAACTGTGCCCGAACTTCGTGAAATGACCCCTATTGCAAATGTTCTTGTCCGCCAGGTTTTAGTGGGTATGCCCTCCACCTCACAGAGGGTAGCCATCCTAGAATCACACTGTCAGGGTATGTGTCTTGCTGGTGATGTTGATCTGCGTAATCTCGCCGAACGATGCAGTGGCTTCAGTGGAGCCGACTTGGCTTACCTTTGCCAGCAGGCAATCTTCAGCGCTCTGGAGAGATCGATAGGTGATGGTAGCAAGACAGTAGAATCCTCGAGGAAGTTGGTAGGTGTCACACTTTAACCCTAACCCACCTCAATCCTCCTAAATCCTCTGGGTGGTTTGGAGGATTCAGGATGAATGGTGAATGAAGTACTAAAAATCGGTCACATGGTGGTGCATATGGTCACATATTATACTGTTTACAATGGACCTAAGGACAGCGTGTTCCATTGTTCACTGCTGCTGGTCATAAAATTACACAATCCTCTTCTGCAGTGTGTTAAAACAAAGGCACATGTCTGCTTTGTTTATTACAACTGTAAAGCCATCAGCCAACTCTGCAGAAAACCAGCCTCAGCCCAGCAACCAACCTGATGTGACCAACCCTCCCCCAAAAAACAACCCCTCCCAAAAAAACCTCCAAAGTACATGTAGGGCCATGGAGGATTTTGGAGGATTGAGGATGACTACAGTTTTTGAAGTTGGGCAATTGGAGGAATTTGGAGGATTGAGGATGTGCCGTAGTAAAAAGGCCCTAGTAGGTGAGGATCAATTAAAGGTTTGTTGTGTGATTCATCGTAAGCCTCAGCGTTTATTAGTAATAAACCGAGTGTCTGACCTGACTAATCTAGGTTTGTTTGGAAGATGTGACAAAATGCATTGTCATTGTTGGTTTCCTCATTCTTCAAGGAGTGCCCTACTGTGATGATGGGAGATTTCACTGGTGCCCTGAGTCACGTGACACCTTCCCTTCATCGTGCAGCAGGATCAGTTGTGAAGGAGCTACAGCCAGTCCCATGGGAAGCCATTGGTGGGTTGGCGCAAGTGAAGGCACAGTTAAAACAGGTGATTTGGGTTTTTGTTTCTGAATATTGTCATTAATCTTCACCCAGTATCCCCCTTGAGCAGAAGCACCCCCTCATGGGTTGAAGAGAGTCATGCTGGTTGGAAGTGTTCAATTTGTTGGTTGCAATGCGCACGCCACGCATGCATTTAACGGTCTTTTTCATGAATCAGCGAAGTGAAGTTCCTACCAAAGGAGACGCTGTTGCTAGGAAAATTGCGCCCTCTGTTGGTTTGGCTCAGGGTTCATATAGTGAGTATCTTCTGTTCTACTGAGCTTACTGCGTACTCAGTACAGACTTCTAATATGTACATGCACATAAAAATTGCAAATATTATGCAGTAGGATATTAGTCAATCATGGCTGTTACGAAGTCATCTTCAATCCGGATGGTGATGGAGGATGTTGATTGGTCAAGATGTGTCAGCTGACCATACTTTGACTGGTGACTGGACTAGCTGACGTGGCTTAGGCCACTTCCATGGAAAGTGTAATCGAGAGTGTTTCAGACCTGGCAAATTTGCTTATTTGTAATTTTTGGATAGCATATACTTACACCGAGATACCGACCTCTTCCTGAGCCCAACTAAGGCATCTTTTCAAAATTCCTAGCGGTTGACTATAGGACAGGGCCATCCGACTGATAACAGTGACTTGTGTTGAGTGAATAATGGACGGGGTGTTGCTCCACTGAAACCACATAGCCTGGGAGTAATGCAGTAAAAAGGCATAATCAGTTAGAATTGGCCACTTGAGAGCACTTAACCTGATAGCCAACCAATAATAACACCTATCCGATCAGAATTTTGAAATGGTGCCTAAAGCCCAACTAGATATTAACCACAGTACAGAGTGTGGCATGTGAACAGGGCCAGGCATTGACTCACCTGAGTCATGTGTTTTCTCTAATGTCACTAAGCTTACTGTGGCTGAAGGCCTATGTGTCTTCTCATTGGTCAAACTCTGGGGGTCAGGCGATTTTCATCTACATGCAGCATAATTAATCAGCAGACATGCTCAGATTCCATAGACGCTCATCTGCAAGCAAGTGCCTATTACGTAGATTAAACCTGTAGGACCATTGAAATTATGCAGAATCTTGTTGGAGCCAGGGTTAAACACCAGTTATGATATTCCAGTGTGTAGCAGTGTAATTGAATGCATTTAATTGAAGGCTTGCATAACTGTGTCAGATAACATATTTAGGTTTTTTCCAGAGAAAATATGAACACAGACATGGGAGCTTAAAGATTGGCTTTGTGGTATAGACTTGCTGATTGGCTGTCACTTGGTTGGCTGGTAGTCTGTCAGCTTGCATGACACAAATGGGTTCAGTCAACCAACTTACATGTACTGTCCGTGGACTGGTTGATCAGCTGGTTTGCTTACAAACTGCTTGGTTGAAGATGCTATCCGCTCCGAGTGGGAACAAAAGAGGGCGTGTTTTCCAATAAAATTGACAGTCCTTTGGCAAGTTTATGTGTGTTTGACATAGGGCATGCTGAGTACGTGTACATGCAACAAATTTATTCTGGAATGTGCACGCCGAACATGTGCAAGAACCTGGTTGGAAAGCTTTGTTCCAGTCTGTCTGTTTTTGCTTGGGATGGTGTACTTCAACTCAGGGCAGAAACTGGGTATCTTAAACAAAGAAAACCGAGATAAATTTGTTTGTTTCTTGAATGTGACTCATTTTTTTAAAAATGGTAATCATCGTCTGTTTCGTTATAATGTCCTCTTTCACATGACACCAAGAAATCCAAATTTCTGTCACAGATGACTAAGCATGAAGTGGTTTCATGGACCAAGTCAGAAATGACTTTGCACCAAATAGCTGTTTTGATGTGGAATCATACTGTCCAGAGTTGGCTTTTTTTAATACCATTTTGTGATACTTTTTATGATTTGCTTTATTCTTTGTTTCTTCAAGTTTCCACCAACTGTTCCCTTATTCGTGTAATTCTGAAGTCCTCCATCATTTTTACAGGCAGTGGAGTGGCCTATGAATCACTGGCAGAGCTTTGTTCATCTAGGCCTAGCGGGGCCGTCCGGCGTGTTGCTGTATGGCCCGCCAGGCTGCTGCAAGACAATCCTAGCTCGGGCAGCGGCCACAGCGTGTCACGCCAGCTTCCTCGCCCTCAGCTGTGCTGAGCTGTACTCGCCGTTTGTAGGTGACTCGGAGAAGATCATCACAGAGGTAGGATGGAAATCATGATAGGTTTGCTGTTGGTATAAAGCACCAACAAGTGAACAGTTAATTGGCTTACTGACCCATTTATTGTGTCATTTTTATGATGGGTACCAGTAGGGGCCTTTCATGAAACAAGGGCCATTTCTACATGTGAAAGCTGTGACTGATTGTTTTCAATACAAAACAGGTTTTTTTCACCTTACAGCAGACATGATGGAAAGGATTTTTTTCTCCCGACCTTAAAAGGATATATAATAGAAGTAGGAAAGTGAGGTTTTTTCATTCTGCCCTTTTGCTAATAGAAAACACTGATTGTAAGAAATGGCAAATATTGTCCTGCAAAATGACAAAAATTAATACATGTATTGTTCTTGTAAGAATAACCAATTATGCTGGATATTTTGGTAATTTGACTGCAAAACAGCCCACTTGAGCACAGCACTGTATGCCATCAACAGGGTACCCTCCAACTACGACTGATGTATTTAGAGTGGGCAGGTTATTCTGCATGTGTGCTTAAACACAAAGCAAACCAGACATGTCTGGAATTTTCTTTTGTTTATATGTGACTTTTTTAAAAGCAGTTACAGGTCCCAAAAAAGGTTAAGCTGAAAAAAAAATCAGCTCAAAAAATGATATTGACATCAAGCGTTTCGCACCCGAACACTAAGAACAGGCTTAGACAGATCTGATCAAAATGTCAATAATAATGAATAATTATACAGAATCTTAATTTTTATCGTGTGATAGTACCGAGTGTATAAGCTCCAAATCATCCAACCTGAAATGCTCTCATACCATGAAACCTTTTCTCGTGTTTTCCTGTTTGATGATGATGAAAATTTCTGCAGAAACGCTAGTTATTTTCTCCCACTGTCAGGTTTTTCGCAAGGCTCGACTGACAGCTCCTTCAATTGTCTTCCTGGATGAGCTTGACTCCTTGATTGGAGGGCGGGGTACCGAAAAAGGGCGTAACCTGTCCGAACGTCTCCTGTCCTGTCTCCTGGTAGAAATGGATGGAATAGGTGTGTCCATCGATGAAGAGATCCCTAGTGTAGACGGTATGGGCAACAAAACAACTCAGGTATAGTCGGCATGAAAAAGGGACTCATTTCAAGTGTGTCGAGTAGCGTTGTAATTGGGACCCCTTAACCCTAAAAGAGCAGGGTTATTTTGGACCATCTCAAAGGGCGGGGGGGGTCTTAGAGGTTCAAGGCCACATACCAGTATGTATTGAGCATACCGTAGCAGCAGAAAAGCATACATTTTTGGCTGACCTGTCTCGGAGGAACGGGAACTGTTCGATTGTCACGAAATTGGTGTGAAAATGACTGCAAAGAGTTTCTGAAAGAAAAACTGCTAAAGGTTCAACTCTGTGAAAAAATTGTTGCAGGGATATCAAAAAAGACCACGGCAAGAACTACACGAGAACTCTAGTCTGAATATGGTTGATTCACAATAGTGCGCCTCCAAGAGTCTGCAAAGCGTTGACCAATCACAGTGCGCGAGATCTGTCGACCCTTTCCATCGCCCGTATTCAAGTCACAAGCTATGATTTACAACAAAAGTATTCCTGTTTCATTGCTCTCCCAGTTCCGTTTGTCTGGATAGGTGATGATCTTGACTACAACAATGCGGATTACTAGAATAAATTGTTAAACAAGAAGGAAAGGTGGAATTTCAGGCTAGTCATGGTGAAGGACAGCAACAGGTGGAAAGGCTTGCGGTAGCACCGTGCAAAGGAAGGAAAGGATGGAAAATAACATATCAAATATAACATACTTTAATCAGATGGACTATGAAAGCTTGGAGTGTAGTATGATTTACATGTATCTGTCACAGTGAAGATATGGGTGGAATTTTGCATGAATACTGATGCAAGAACAATAAAAACTGTAAAAAGAAAAACAACTTTTATTCAAAATGTTATTGTCGATGCTTAGAAAACTACCTGGTTCTCCTCTTGAGCGGCTTTATTTGTACCACTTTTGCAGGCAGAGTTCAGGAGACCCAACGTTTTGGTGGTTGCCGCTAGCAACAGGATAGACCTCATTGATGCAGCCCTGCTCAGGCCTGGTCGCTTTGATTGTTTGATCTACGTACCGCCACCTGATCAAGAGGTACGTGGAAGTATATTGCTTCATATATTGCTCTGTTTCTTTCGGGTCTGTCATATCAGTACACTTATTCTGTTACCAGATCCTGACCAGTTTGTCACTGTTGGGTGTGGTCGGTTGATTGTGCAGCCCTATGTCGATGCTGTAGGGGATGGCAGGGAACCATACCATCACACTTTTATTTCCATACTTGAATAAGTGACCTATTTGTAAACTGTATCAATGGCAACTCTTAAAATGTCATGAGTCTAAAAATGATTTATTAACAAGCCCGAGAGTCTAGTAATGATTTAATAAAAATATTTAACAAGCCTGACTTGTTTTATTTCCGTTACACATTTTGTGTGGATTAAATTCACCTTGAACAAGGATAAACACACGTTAACGTAGGATTCTGTATAGCTTCAATCCATTAAAAAAACCCAAAATGTGGCTTCCGTGCAGTGACAATTAAATGGAAACGTTGGTAACCACTAGGAGTGTAACTATGGCTGATACATACGTATGTAAGTTGTGTACAGTGTACCTTTCAAAATTTCAGTTGGTGGGATGCACCCTGGGGGCGTGAAGGGATGGGGGTAAATGATCCTCCCCTTCCATATCTCCCTGTAGTTACGCCACTGGCAACAGCATATGTGATGCAATCAAACAAAATGATTTGTCAAATCACACCAATTTGTTGAATTTCATTCCTTTGAAAGTTATACAATGACTTCATTCCCAACCTTGAAATAACTTTTCGACCAACTATTGTGGGATTTGAAACATGACAAGATTCGATTTGGACATCGTCAGAGTCGTTTCTTCAGATAAAGAAAATGGACCACTGATTTGTTTTGCTTGATTGCATCACATATATGGTATTCAAGATGTAAAAGGTGTCAATTCCACGTCCTCTGTCTTCAGGCAAGACAGGAGATACTGGGAGTGCACACCAAGAACATGCCCTTAGCTGGTGATGTGAACTTGACGGAGGTAGCCAAGGCAACGCACATGTACACGGGAGCCGACCTAGAGGGGCTGTGCAGGGAGGTGAGACTCCAATACCTGGTTTGGAGGGTTGTTAGCACTCAATGTTCATGAGACTGTAACTAACTTTATGAGGCGTAAGGCATTTTTTCTCCAGTCATTTTGTTTTAAATTGCATTGAAAAGAATGACCTGATGAGTTCTTTGTTTTGATGTATCATCCAGTTTGGCATTGGATGAAAACGGACATTTTGCTGACGGAACATGTTGATGGTTCCTTTGGATTTATTCTGTGCAAGGTTCTGTTATAAAAGCTATTAACTCAAAAATGGCTCTGGTGACTGGTGGCCCATCTTGTTAACCAATTGCGGCTGAGGAACCCCATTTGGAGCAACATACGCAGAGCCGGGGTGGCCGAAATGGGACAAAAGAGCTGGTCCATGTAATAAAAGACCGTACTCAGAACAAAAGGCCTGCTGCTGGGAATTGCCATCATTTTTCGGCTTGCATTTTTTGAAGGTAATCCGTCATTGTTTTTAACCA